GTGAGAATACGTTGAAGCTCATGGCGAGAAGTGTAAATTTGTGCAAGATCAGCACAGATGGGGGTCGGCCCTTTTTCAAAACGGGTATCTCGCCAAACACCTTGGACGAGCTGCATTGTCAGAACTTCTTTCATTCGAAGGAAAGATGCAAGACAGTTCGTGTTCAAGTCGGGGCTCTCGCCTGAGCTGCAGGCCTATAGGGTGCCTGTCGTTCAAGGGCGCGCTGCTAGTAGCGATAAGCAACGAATGTAGGCACTTCTGGGGGGGACTTGGGACGGGAATGGGTATTGCAGCATCCTTGATGCATCTTCGGCTGACTCTGGTACTCCTCTCCCTCCTCCTACTCCTCCTTCTTCTCTTTCTCCTCCTCCTGCTCCTCCTCGTCCCCCCTCCCGACTAGTCGCGCGCGGTCGGAGTGGGAGGATGAGGAAGGGTAGGGTGAAGGGAAGGGGGAGGAGGAAGACCAGAGTACTCCCAGCACGCGCACACAAACTCGGTAGACACACAATGTTGCCTCTGCGGGAGAAGTGGCGTCGCTCTCGCGAGAGCATTGAGAGAGGTGCGTCTGCGCGAACTCCACCGAGCGTTGTGGATGGAAGGCAGACGGACAGAGGGGGCCCTGAGCAGCTAGCGTGCAGGTGGACCTCTTAGAGCTCGAGGTGCTCCTGTGACAGACGTTCGGGGCACGGTTGTGCGCACGGTGGCCATCCGAAAGAGTTTTCGGACTGCGCCACCACCGCCACCCGCTTGTTTCCCCCTCCCTCGTCAGTCTCTTTTCCCCTCCCCCCTCCCCCTTTCCACAGGAGCAGCCCCATCTTACGAGCAGCGAGTGGCTGCTCTGATGGAGCAAATCCGTGTTCGCGAAGCCTCCCATAGAGGCCAGTAATTCTAGCACGTCCTAGATGTTGATTGCTGTGCACTCTCCCCCTCGGGGGCATTCCATTCCCCCTCCCCCATCTCTGCCGGGAGCGGGAGGGGGGGAGGATCTCGTGAGCTGCGTCGCGCCACGCGGGCAGGCTTTGGCTGTATATACGCTACACCTACAGATGCTGTCAGCCTGTTGTGCAGGTTGAGCTGCTGTTGTGTGCGTCTGTGCGTGAGCATCTGTGTGTGCGTGTGTGTGTGTGTGCGTGTGTGTGTGTGTGTGCGTGTGTGTGTGTGTGTGTTGACTCCGGCGTCGGCCCGCTGCTTGCGCCCCTGCGCCGCCCCTGGCCGCTGTCCCGCGAGGGGCCGGCCGGCTCTTTCTTTTCTTTCGCCTCTTATGCGACTGGGCTCTCGCGCGGTCCTCCGCGCGCGTGCCGGACGGTGAGGAGGTGCTTCCGCACGCGACGACCGATGTGTGTGTGTGTGTGTGTGTGCGTGTGTGTGTGCGTCTGTGTGCGTCTGTGTGCGTGCGTGCGTGTGTGCGTGTGTGCGTGTTTGAGGGCCCGGCCACTGCCACGCGCGTCTGTGTCGTGCCGCTCACTCGGCTTCCTCCGCCTCGTCGCTGCCTTCGAGGCCGCGACCGCTGTAAAGGGTGTGTGTGTGTGTGATGGCCTGGTGATGGGAGGGACATCGATCCCGCCCACTGCTTCTGCTTGCTGGCCCGCCTCTTCCCCCCCTCACAGAGGAGAAGGATGACGAGGAAGCTCCAGCCGAGCGGGCCAGAGTCCGGAGCCGTACGGTCCCCGCCACAAAAACAAATACACAGACACCCTCCAATGGATTATTCCTGGGCCTCAGTTGCGGGTGGAGGTGTACGAGTCACCATTGAGAGCCGGTGATGTCATAGACCGCCACCCTCCCTGAAGGTGCACGCAAAATCTGTCGAAGGGTGTCTGTATATTCTGAAGGCCTTACGGCCGGTACCGCCGACCCTGAAGATGACGACGACGGCGATGACGACGACGACGACGACGGCGACGGCGATGACGACGACGACGACGACGACGGCGGCGACGACGACGACGACGACGAAGACGACGACGACGGCGACGACGACGACGACGACGGCGACGATGACGACGATGACGAGGAGGGTGTCTGTGTATTTCTTTTCGTGGCGTGTGCGCGCCCAGCCGCAGGTGCCACCAGCCCTGCCGGCCCCGCGGAGCCGAGCGGTGACGCCGGGGGCGCCAGGCTGGGCTGGAGCCAGGAGCTCGCCACGAGGGGTAGGGGCCCTCCTCCTCCTCCTCCTCCTCCTCCAACTCCAGCTTTTTCTCCTCCTCCTCCTCCTCCTCCTCCTCCTCCTAGGATGGATCACCAGCAAGAATTTCGAGCACCAAGAGAGTACCGAAACTGCAGGGCTTTCACGTGCTGGGCCTTGGGGGCGATGCTCGTTCGACACCTCGCCAGCGTGTTGGGCACATACGGTTTCGATATTCTGGGCGCTCGAAATTATTTATGGGATGTGGTCCCGAGGTGCGATGGAAGCAACATAACTCTTGCTTCGAGGTTGGAGGCTCTTAGACTTTCGGGCGTTCCCGTAATGATTGGTCATGAGCAATGGGGGTGGGGGAAGGATGGAAGGCTCCCTAGAAGCACCCCGGCTTCCCAGCAGGCGCGGGCCTTGCCTGTAGATGTACGCCGGCGCCGTCCAAGAAGCAGCCTCCTTCCAAGAAGCTTCCCCCCCTCCCCCCAAACCCCTCGTGCGCGCCGCCAACTCAGACTTCCGGGCGTTTCTGCAATTAGGCTCCTGTAGGCTTTCCAGCCTGGGATGATCTCTGGCAGCTGCGCCTCGCCGAGAGCGTTCTGGGGGTGCCCAGATCGCCCCGAACGGCTGCTCGAGACCTGGGCTATGACCCGGAAGCGGCTCCTGGTGTTCTGTTCTGGGGGGAGCAACGAGGCCTCTCCTCGCCACGTCTGGGTCCTGGCTCCTGGGTCCGCCTCGGAGTTCTGGTCAAGACGCACCCTTGGACAGATCCAGGGATCGAGGAGGGAGAGGAGTTGGGCGCTTATGTCTTTTGGTCTGGGAGTGGCTGGGTCACCCTCGAGATTCTGGCCAGATCGCACCCCAGCAGAAGTCAGGGGGTCGACGCTTCAGCATCGCCATGAGGGAAAGCTGTCCCTGAGGGGAACGGGTCCTGGAGGTCTTTCGCAGTGTTTTGTTTCTGGCGCCCTGCCTGGGCCCCGAGGCCCATCAGAAACGGCTCAGGATGAGAAACTGCCACAGGAGAGTGTGGGCGGGGGTTGGGGAGGAATGAGAGTCCTCCTTTTCCTCCTCCTCCGCCTCCTGTCTCCTCCTTCACCCTCCTCTCCTCTCCTCCGCCGTCCCTTCTCCTTTCTCCATCTCGTAATCATTTTTATTCCATATAACTTTCGCCTTTCTTACCCATTATGAAAATCGTGGTGATGGTGATGGTGGTGCTGATGGGGGTGGTGAGAACAGTGACAAGTCAAATCATGATCATGGTAATGGTGAGGATGATGGTGGATAATGATGATGCTGATGATGGTGATGGTGACGATACTGCTGCTGATGATGGCGATGGTCATGATCATTATCATGTTGCTGGTTATGATGAGGATGAGGATGAAAATGATGATGCTGTTGATGATGATGCTGATGATCATGCTGGTACTAATGATTATGACGATGACGCGGATGCTGCTGCTGCTGACGTTGATGTTGATGACGATGATGATGCTGATGATGTTGATGCTGCTGGTGAGGTCGATACTGATGATGCTGATGATGGTACTGATGTTGATGCTGACCATGAGGATCCTGATGATGATGATGATGATGAAGCTGAGGGTGATGATGATGATGATGATGATGATGATGATGATGATGATGATGATGATGATGATGATGATGATGATGCTGTTGATGACCATTGTGCTAATGATGTTGAGGACGAGGATGATGATGAGGGTGAGGATGTCCTCGCTTACGGGCTTTCGGGAGGTAGGTCTAGGGTACAAGGATTGTTGGGGCCCCCTCGCCCACTTGCGACGCGAACTCCGTGGCCATGTGTTCGAGGGTTCAGCCTGCCACCCGCAGGCCCTTCTATTTTGGCTTTTGCACCCCACTCCGCAACGCTCCGCTGTCAGCGATGCCGCGCGGCCCGCAGTGGGACGACAGGCTGCTGGCCTGGGCCTCTGACCGCGGTTGGTCGGCGGCCATCCGCATGGAGTTTGCCAAGCTCGACATCGAGAGCTTGGAGGACCTCGCCGAGTACTTCACCAGCGTCGACGACCTGCCTGCCGTCGTGGGCCTCGCCTCGGCATGGCAGGCTGTGCAAGCCTACTGCCGTGCCGGCGAGGTCGCCCGGGCCCTTCCCGTCGCTCGTGCCCTTCATGCCGAGTGCGTCGGAGTTGCCGCGGACCCTCCGCCTCCTCGGCCCCCTCGGGGCCTTCGGAGGCTTCGATGGCGGCCACGCTGCTCGCAGCTCAGCTCCGAGTACGCCGTGCAGCAGGTCGCCGACGCTGACGCCAAGAGCAAGCGGGCCCGCTTCGAGGCTGCGCAGGAGGCTGTCGCTCTTGCAGCCTCCTGGAAGCATTCTGGCTCCTTCGGTGCCCGCGTCGATGCTGCCCCCCCTGCACATCGACAGACCCTCATCGACGAAAAGGTCGCTGCCATCGCCGTCTTCGAACCGAGGACGGTCCGAAGTTCGTTGCGCACTTGGGCGGCTATTGCGTCTGCTGCGGGCTCCTCTTCTTTGACGTGGGCGCCTTCGTCCGCGGCCGTCTCCAGCTTCATCGAAAAGAGCAAGCCGCGAGGCGTCACCGTCCCCAGGTCGATTTCAATGACGTAGCCTGGTTGGTTCGGCACCTCGACGCGCCGAAGGACGTGCTTCCTGCAGTTCGTCCTCCTGTACGCCAGGACGCTGCTGACGAGGTTCCTGTAGAACCCGCGGAGCCGGAGATCGTACTGTGCCTCGAGGCGAAGGTCAAGCACACCCTTGACAAGTCGGGGGAGCCCCTCGGTGAGCTGCACATGAACGTCGCCCTCATGGCGCTCCTCATGTCGTTCGGGACGCTCCGGGGCCGGCACGTCCAGAGGTCTGGAATTATAGGCCTCACCGGTTGCAGCATCTGGGGCCTATGTTCCCTCGGGAAGGCCCGTTGTGGCGGCCAGCGGCGCTCTTTCAAATGGAGGGCGCCGCGATATGGCTTGACCGGGGTCGACTACGGAGGGGAGATCACGAAGCGCTTCGAGTGCCTGCGCACGGAGAACGGCAAGCCTTCAGGTTTCCTCTTCACGTCATCTTCTACACGGTCTCGGCTTCGCACGCCCATCACGGTGTCCACCTTCAACCAGGCGATCTCGGCTATCGTTAGCATGGGCGGCTCGCCAGTGAAGCTCTCAGGAACCATATCGTCGTACTCTTTCCGGCGGTGGCTTCCGACTTGGGCAGACCTTCGTAAGCTGCCCATGGAAGAGCGCCAGGCTTTGGGCAATTGGCGTGAGGCACCGTCTGCGGCAACCGGTCGCGACGCCGCTGCTGCCGCCTTCTCTGCGTCCATGGGCTTGCGCTACTCTGGCCGCAAGGACGATTCCGCTGAGTTGGTGAAGTTAGAGCAGATCTTCGCCCTGCGGCTGGCGATCGCTGCTTTTGACTCCTCCGCGCCGGTCACGTGGTCCTCCTTGCGCGGCGCCTTGCCCGACCGTGCATTGGTTGAGGCCCGCGTCGCGAAGGTGTGGCAGGAGTCAGGGGAGTTGATCTTGACTGCCCTGGGGCGCGCGCTCAACGCTGCCCCGCGGCGCGTCCAGGTCGTGCGCACGGATCCCTGGTGGAGGACGCCATCCCAGACGTCGTGCGTCTGTCGACTATGGGTACTTCGACCGGGACCTGATTTCGCTCGCCTTCCCCCTCCTCTTCCTCATCTTGTTCCTCCTCGGGAGCGCCATGGGGAAGACCCTCCGCCGCCGGCCTCGTGCAGCGTGTCGGGCCCTCCTCTCCTAAGGGTGAAAGACTGCGTGTTTTTTTTTGACTGGTCTCCAATTATCGCGAGTCGAAGAAAGCCGATTCGCGCGCTGATTATTCTGAGTTCCTAGATGCGATAATCGCATCGTTTTGCGCGCGGGCGCATACCGCGTGCCAAGAGAGGGCAATATGTCATTCGCGCGCGAGCGGGCGTTTTTGGGCGCGAAAGGCATGTGTCTATTACAAAACGCGTTAAAGCTATGGTGCGCAATGGCCCCCCCTTCGTCTTCCTTTTCCCCTTCCACCCCCCTGTCCCCGCTGCCCCCGTCAACCGGTGCGTCTGGTCGTTTTTTGTTTCTTTACGAATTCCTTTCGGGGATCCTTGTTGGGCCCCCCCGGCCGCCAGGGTGCCCTCGCGCGGCGCCGAAGGGCTCGGAAAGTGCGCGACAGGGCCCCAGGGGAGTCTCACGAGGCCCCTAACATGGTTCCGAGAGACTCCCAAGAGGGACCCCGAAAGAGGCACAAAGGGTACGCAGGCTTGCGTTTCTTTTCGGGCCCCCCTTTGCGGCTCCTCCAAGGAGCCTTCCAGGGTGCCAGGGTAACCTTGGGAGGCGACGAAGGGTTCGGAGAGTTCGCGACAGGTCCCCAAGAGCGTCTCCAGAGGCCCCAAAGAGGGTCCCGAGTGGCTTCCAAGGGGGACCCAACAAAAAGGCACGCAGCATATGCAGGCTTGTGTTTCTTCTCAGGGCATTATTTAGATTCCCCCTAGGGCCCCCCCCCGCCGCCAGGGCGCCTTCGGAAGGCGCCGAGGGGCTGGGGCAGCGCCGCAGGCCCAAGCGAGTTTCAAGAGGCCCCCGAGAGCCACCGTGGGATGCCAGCCCTTCTCGCTTGATCGTCGTGGAGCCAAGAGCGACGGGGAAACAACAACAACTTCGTTTGGCTTTCAATTTCCTTGTCATCATTACGCCTCCCTCCCTGTCCCTCCCCTTCCTCCTCCATCGCTAGCCTTCTCTATCAATCGTCCTCCGTCGTTCTCCTGCCTCCTCCTCGTATATCATACTTCGTCCTCCTTCCACTTCGTCAAACCCGAAGCTGCACTTCCTCCCCCCACCTCCCCCTCCTTCGATCCTATCGCCCCAACGTCCCTCTTCTTTCTTCCTCTTCCATCCTCTCTCCATTATTTAATCGCTTCGCTCATTCCGCCGGCCAATATTGTCGCACCGTTGCGGGCTAGCCGAGTTTTGCGGCCTCTTGGGGGCCTTTTTGGGGCCTCTTGGGGCCTCTTTTGGGCCTCTTGGGCGCCTCTTGGGGCGTCTTGGGGGCCTCTTGGGGGCCTCTTGGGGCCTTTTTGGGGCCTCCTGGGCGCCTTCTGGGGCGGAGGGCTCGATTTTTCAGTTCTCTGTATCCCTCTTGAGCCCCTCTTGGGCCCGTCTTGGGGCCTCTTGGTCCGTCTTGGGCGGCACTTGGGCCGTCTTGGGGGCCCTCTTGGGCCGTTTCGGGGCCGTCTTGGGAGCTTCGTGGGCCGTCTTGGAGCGATCTTGGGCGCCTCTTGGGTCGTCTTGGAGCGTCCGGAAGCCGAAAAAGCCAGAACGCCAAAAACATCGGAAAAACCAATGAAAATCAACGATTTTGGCCTCTTGGGGCTCTCTTCGGAGGCCTCTTGGAAGGCTCTTGGGGCGTCTTGAAGGCCTCTTCGGCTGTCTTGGGGGTCTCTTGGGCCGTCTTGGGGTCATCTTCGGCGCCTTGGAGCGCTCTTTGAACGTCTCGGGGGCCTCTTGAGCAATCTTGGGGGCCTCTTGGGGCACTCTTGGCGCGCTCAGGGCGGCCTGAGAGGCCGCACCCAGAAGGAAAACCATCTCTGAGTTGAACCGGGCGGGACCTTCCCAGGCGGCGGGCGGGGTACTTTTCGCCGGGGGACCCCCAGGGGCCGCCCCGCGCGCGCGAACTAGTACAATACAATTGTTAACCAGTTACCGGAGATCTTAGCACGCCTCTGGCCCGTTGGGCCGGCGAATTTGAAGACGCCCCCCCTCTTGAGGGGAACTGCCGCGCGGCTTTTGCCTGAACGCCCCACGGTTCCTGGAGGGGTCGGCGCGCCCAGAGTTGCGGCAATTTTCCCCGACAACTCCTCGGACCTCCCCCTGCCCCGAAAATTGTCGGCCCCCTGGTGGGCCTCCAACAGCCGGCCAAAGACCGCCCGACAAATTTGAACACGGGTGGCGTGAAAAACTGCGTGGGAAATTGCCGTGGATTTTTTTTGGTCTTGAAATCGGCTGTAAAAGAATCGTCGGCGGTTTTCCGCCGGGTTCTTCACGGCTGCGGTGGCGAGAAGCATGTCGCGTTCTTGGTGGCCATCTGAAGCCGCCCCGGGATACTGAATGCAATGTTGGAGACCATTTTGGGGTCATCTCGAGCTCTCTTGGAGCCATCGTGGGGCCCCCTTGGGGCTCTCTTGGGATAATTTTGGAGGCCCTGGGCGGCCTCTTGGGGCCATATTGGAGGATATCGATCAACATAGGGGGGCGGCCCTAACAGCGTCGCCCCTCTAGAGCTCCCACAGCCGTCTCTTGGGGCTCTCTTGGGGCGCTCTTGGGGCGCTCTTGGGCGCTTTTGGGACCGTCTTGGAGCCCTCTTTGGCCCTTCTTGGAGCTCTTTTGGGCCATCTTGGAGCCATCTGGAGGCCTCGGAAGTCCATTGGGCGTGGAAAGGCGGGAATGCAGCAATGGTTGTTTTCGCCTTAGGTTTTCGAATGATTTTGGCGTGTCGGGGGCTTCCCTGGGGGGGCCCGTGGCCACTTGAGGCCATCTTGTGAGGTCTTGGGGCCTATTGGAGCATCTTCGAAGCCATCTTGAGCTATCTTCAATAATATTAGGCCATATAGGGGGCCATCTTGAAGGCTCTGAGGCCATCTTGAGGCTATATTAGGTCATCTTGGACGCTCGAACGCCTTCCCGCACCCCTTGTCCAGACCCATGGGGGAAGGGGGGGGAGATCATTCCCAGAAGGGGAAAAGGGAGGTTGAAAGATGAAACGATTCAAACCACCTCCGCCCAGAGGGCCTGTGGGATTTCTTTCGATTTTCCCCGGGGACCGGCCCTGCTGGTGCAGAGGCCTTCGGTGCGCAGGAGAGGGCAGCGTGAATGCCGCCGTGCACGCAAGAGAGAAAGCCACCGTCGAATTAAACTGTCTTTAAACGGTTGTCCTGAGAACGCGGCCGAAATTCCGCCGCGACATCACCAAAGTGTCGCACTCGGGCGCCCCAGAAGAAGTATAGAGGAAGGGGTGGAGGAGGAAGAAGGCGACTCGAGGTTGTCAAATCGCGGCTCAAACCACAGCCCCGAAGTCGAGCAATAACCTCGGGTTCGATCAAGACCAAATAACTTACGGGGCGCACATGTAGACATTAATACGATACGAAATGTCAATGGAAACATATCGGCGCCACGCGGCGAGTGAGGTGAAAGGAGGAGGACGACGAATGGAGGGACAGAGAAAGACGGAACAGTTTACAATAACGCGCGTTGGCAAAGAATGCGCGCTCCGCCGAGAATGCGGGCTCGCGCTTGTACGCCCGACAACATGCGCGCGGTGTCTGGCATGGTTGCGAATCGTTGAACATAAAATCCATTGTGGATTTCGCCGGCAAAATCGTCGCCGACCTTCTTAGGGCTCGGAGAGCGTGACAGCGTGCGCCGGCGGCGAAGGGGCGACTGAGCCTCCGCGCGGCCAGCGCGACGGCATGCGCGCCTCCTTGCGCCTGCGCGCAAGGGGGCAAGCGGCCCTGGGGAGGCTCCGGTGCTCAGGAAGCCCGAAGTCGCCCCGCCGCCGGGGCCGCGTACCGGGACGCCCCTCCGCCACCCGCCTCGTGCAGCGAGCGCCGGTGGCGAAGGGGCGTCCGCGCCTCCGCGCTTCTCGCGCGAAGGCAGGCGTGCCTCCCGCCCCTCGCACTGCAAGGGGGGAGGCGGCCGGGTGGAGTCGGGAGCTCATGGAGCCCGGGTCCTTGACATAGGTCGTCTCTCTACCGCTCGCCTCGCGCAGCGAGCGCCGGCGGTGGAGGGGCATTTGCGCTTCTGCGCATCCTGTGCGGCAGCTAATGCAAAAGGAAAAAATATTCAAGTATGCCTCCTGGCCCTCGTGTGCCGGGGGCGGGAGGCGGGTGAGGGGACTCCGTGGCCCTCCGTGCCAGAAGTCCCGCCTCGCTTACCTCCACCACCTGCCTCGCGCCGCGAGCGTTGGTGATGAAGGCGAGGGAATTCGTGCTTCCGCGCGGCCTGCATTGCCGGCTGCGTGGACGAAATCGTCCACGCAGGAATGCCGGGGCCTCGGAAACGCCCCTGATTGCCCCCCCCGGCTCACGCCAGCTCGTTGGACAGCTTGGGGCTATTCCGCTTAAGTCCTTAATCCTTTCTTTCGGGGGGGGGGGCCCCGAGTGTTTCCGGAGGCATCTCCGGGAACACTCGCCTGGCTGATTGATGTTCCTGGAAGCCTCTCCAGGAACATTTGTCTGCCTGTGTTGCTGGAGCGCACCGGTGAGCTGTCCAGCTAACCGGCGTTCTCTCCAGGTCTCCCCGCAGCGTGCACCGGTGAGCTGTCCAGCTAACCGGTGTTCTCTCCGAGTCTGCGCGTGCTGCCGGATCGCACCCCGGTGAGCTGCCCTGCTTGCCGGCGTTCTCTCCGCGTCTGCGTGTGCTGCAGGAGCGCGCCGGTGAGCTGCCCAGCTTACCGGTGTTCTCTCCTGGTCTGCCTGCGCAGCTGGAGTGCACCGGCCAGCTGCTGTGCTTACGTGTGCCTCGGCCTCGAGACCTTGGGCGCCGTTTTATCCTCCACCACCCCGCCTCGCGTAGCGAGCGCCGGTGGTGAAGGCTCTTTGCTGCCACCGTGCGGCCAGCGCGGCGACAGTGCTCAGGCTCACGCGGTGCCTGGGCGGGAGATCCGATGCTGTTCTCCCGGCCTGTTTTGCCTTCTGGATGCGATTCGTTTACATCTATCGGCCACGCGGCCGGGACAGTTTTCCACCCGTGACAGTTTGTTGTGTGGCTTATTGCATGGGTGTTCTGTCTGCGGAGTAAATAAATCGCACCAGAAGTAGCCGCCCACACCTCCCGTGGCACTCAGTTCGATGATCCCTGAGGCGGGCGGGGGGGGCATCGCGCTTTCGCCGTCGCTGGCGCGAGCGTGTGCCGCAGGCATCTTGACTCAGGGAGTGATTTTGCACGACACCGCCATCTTCGACGCTCACGCCATGTCGCTCCCTGCCACTTTCGTGGAGCTCCAAACCACGTACAGGTTCGACGAGGCCATCGCGAAGTTTCTCACTGATCCTGAACCTGCAGGGCTTGGCCTGGAGACCATGGATGACTTTGCGGCCTTGTTCACTTCCGAGACCGAGGTCCAGAACGTGCTCAACAGGATCGAATCCGTTCGAGAGTCGTCGCGCCAATTATCTAGGCTTCGCCAAGCGTGGCGGGGCGTCAAGAACCTTCTTTCCGAGCAGCTCGCCACCGCCCGGAAAGGCACGGACAACGACGACTTGGACAAGTTCCTTGACCAGCCGACGCTGGATGACCTCGCCAAGGTGTTCTGGAAGCGCTACCGGAACTCATGGCCTCCAGACGTGATGCCCAGTGACCAGATGATCAGCCGCATCTACCGGGAGCTCGCTGCTCGCCTGCTCTCCGTGCGCGACGCGTGGAAGACCAAGTGCCTCGCCGACCAACTCCGCTCTTCGAGAAAATGCATCCCATTGCCCGAGGGCGCTGAGCTCAAGCTGCCTGAGGACAAGGGCGAAGAGCGCGGGGCCCACAACTACAAGGCCTACATGTCCCTCCTCTGGACGCTGCTTCTCGCCTATGCCATGGTGGGCGCCTGGCCTCGCGATCCGCCGCCTGGAAGCAGGCCGGTCGCAGAGGACCCCGTCGACGACAGCGTCCTCTTCGTGGAGTGCCCCCTTGACGTCCTCGAGAGCTACTGGCGGCGTGCCGATCGGAATGCTCGCAAGGTCCCCTAGTAGCTCCGGCTTACCTGGGTCGCCAAGCGGGACGTCGACGAGAGAACCACATGGGTTGAGCGGTACAGAGCTTCCAAAAAAACACCCTCGGGGTCACCATCAAGACCGTCTTCGTGGAGCGCGAGGCTTGTTGGGAGCCGCCTGCGAGGGAGCCTTCGCGTGGACGCTCGCGCTCCCGCTCTCGTCGCGGTGACGGTCGCCGCGGCGATGGCCGCGATCGTGCCGATGCTGGAGGGCGCGATGCTGCTCGGGACCAAGGGCGCCGAGCTGGAGGCAAGATCAGATTCTGCGAGAAGTTCAAGGGCCAGCGCCTCTGCAAGGATTGGAACGTCTCTGGCTGCCCGGTCCCATGCAAGGATGGCCGGCTCCACGCCTGCGACGCCATGACCAAGTCGGGCGGCGCCTGCGGCGGAAATCACAAGCGCCCGAATTGCCCGAACCGGCTCCCCAGTCAGTGACCGGTGGCGGAGGCCCCCGCGGCCGCGGCGCCATCTGGTGCTTCGGGGGCCTGCTTGTTGCCGCGTTCCGCCCCTGCTGCGCCCTTCGCGAGGGAGGACGCCGCCGTGGAAGACCTCGGGCGCAGACCGATTTTCCGGGAGTTCTTCTCAGGCGAGAGTCTGATCCTCAGCCAGGCGTTCGAGGCTTTCGGTTGGATCGTGTTGCCCCCGTTCGATTGGTCGCCGTGCTCAGGGCGCAGCCGGGCGCCCTGCGAAGGCCAGGGCAACTCCACCGATGTGATCTCCGACGCGATCCGCGGCGCCGACTTCGCGTGGTTCGGCTTTGGCTTTCGCAATTTCAGCGGTGCCAGCGACGCCGACGCGGTCTCCGAGTGGGTTGTCAACGCTGCGGAGGCCCTCCTCGCCAGGGGCCGCGGGTTCTGCGAGGAGGACTCCGATCTCTCCCGCTTGTGGGAGTTCCCTGAGCAGCGGCGCCTCGCCGAGCGGCCAGAGGTGGTAGACACTCGCTACTTTTCCTGCTCCTGGCAGGGCGGCTGGGCGAGGGCGCAACGTCTCCGCCATTGCGCCGTGGAGCTGCTGGCCGTGCACGCTGAATGCCACCACGTCCACGACGCGGACCAGTGGAGCAACCCCGAGGCATGGCAGCAGGAAGCCGCCTACACCGCGCGCCTGGCGGTCGCGGTGGCCGCCTCGGTCACGCGCTGGGCCATCCGCGTCTCGCGGCTTTGCTGGGGCTCCCCCGTGCTACCCCAGCCAGTTTGTCATGGCCGTGTTCGCGTCCACAGTGACCCATCCAGCGTCCGCCTTCGCGCTCTCCCCGCGGCCCTGGCGAAGATCGGCCTCGCGGCGCCTGGATCGAGTGGCCACGGCGCCCGCCTGGCATCGGTCAAACACTTCAAAAACGTGCCGCCAGGCAGCGTCTACATAGGCAGGGGCTTCCAGAAGATGGGCCTGAAGAAGAGCGACTTCTGCAACCCGTTCCGCATAGGCCCTGACGGTGATCGCGCCGCGGTTGTCGCCAAGTTCAGGTCCTGGATCTGCCGGCAGCCTGCTCTCCTGCGACGCTTGCCTGAGCTTCGTGGGCGCCTCCTCCTATGCCACTGCGAGCCTGGGGAGCCGTGCCATGGACAGGTACTACTTCAGCTCCTCTCACGCGTGGTTGTTTCTTGATTGCCTTCGATGCCCCGGAGGCCCGGTGCAAGGTGGCCGCAAGAGGGTCTCGCGGCGGCTTTCTTCATGCTCTTCCCGGGCGAGGTGTGCGAGGGCCTGCGGTTCCCGTTCGTCGAGGACCTGGTGAACACCGACACCTTCTGCGAGTTTTTCTCGTGGGCGGATGACCGCGGCATCGACGAGCTGCACGCTTCGGCCTGCTCGTCGCTACTGTGGGACTTGCCCGCGCAGATGCACATGCAGCGAGCGTGGCAACCTGGCGCGTACGCCTCGTCCTACGCCCCAGATCCTCCAGTGGCGCCCGCCTTCGACAAGTGGGAGCATTTTTCAGCTGCGGTGGAGCTGCAGAATGACAGCCACCCGTTCGATGCACCAGTGCTGGTCGACATCGACACGCAGTTCGCGTGCTGGCTCACTGTCCGGCACCGCCATCATCGACGACATTTTCGCGAGTGCCGTCTCCGTGACATCCGCCACCTTGAACGACGGCTTCGCCCTCTTTCTGCTCATATTCGGCGCCGCTCCCACCCGTCGGTCCGACGCGTGGCCGGCGACGCGCCCTTGGCCCTCGAGGCGGTCTTGGTACTGCTCGCTTCGTGGCCGGATGTGTCTTTCCCCAGGTGCCATTTCGAGGGGTTCCGGATCATCGACAACATTGCGAAGTCCGGCATTTTCCGCCCCTCAACGGCGCGCCAGGGCCTCGGCAAAGCGGCGCTCCTGGAGTCCAGCGAGTCATGGATCGATTCGCTTTGCTGCCGCACTGCCTGGACCGAGAGCACGCAATTCATTTTCGACGCGACCTGCAAGGAAATCAACATTTTTGGAAGTCCGTTACGGTCGCGTTCTTTCATGGACTCCAAGTTTGGCAAGGGGCGTTGGTCTGCCATGTGGCGTTTCGTCGTTGTCCAGCCGGGCGGCAAGCGCCGCTGTTGTGACGACGGCCGCAGGGCCGGGCACAACGAAGCATCGCAGTCCGCGGACCGCATCCACACGTGCTCCGCCTTTGCGCCGTGCGATACGTCCTTCGCTCTGCTCTCGGAAGCTGCCGCGCAGGACGTCGACCTCGTCAGCGAGGGCATCGAGGTCGAGACGGGCGGCGAGGACCTGTCGGACGCCTACCGGTACGTCCCCGTCCACCCCGAGGACGCGAATGTGTCTGTGGTCGCCATTCGCCACGCCGCGCGCCAGGAGGTCGTCTTCCAGGAGCTTTACGGCCTCGCATTCGGGCTCTCCGAAGCCGTGCCAGCCTTCAACCGTAAGCCGTTCTGCTATACGGCATTGGTGCGGCGTTTTCTGGGCATGCTCTTAGATATGAATTTTGATGACGCCAGCGAGATCGACTTGAGCTCTGCCAAAGGGTCCGGCCAGCACGTGGTCTCCGAGTTCTTCTCGCTCCTCGGCTCGCCGTTTAAGCCGTCCAAGCGCCACGTCATGGGCCTCGAGCGTGACTTCCTTGGCCTGGTGCGCGACCTTTCATCCCTCATGTCCGACGGGGTCATTCGGGTGACCGTCCGCGAGTCGTTGAAGACCAAAGTGCGCACGCTCATCGACGACGCCTTGGCGACGGAGGTCCTCACGCCGGGCGTCGCCTCGAAGCTGCACGGCGCCCTCAATTTCAGTTCGGCGGCCTGCACGGGGAAGGTTGGCAGGACTGGCCTCTCCGCTTTGATCGGGCGCCAGTACGAGAAGAACTGCTTGGACTTCAAGCTGACGCCGAAACTGCGCAACGCGCTCCTCTTCTTCAAGCGCCTCCTGGATGGGCACCTCGCCCGCCTGCTCCGGCGCTCGGGAGCCCGCGGGCCACCTGCAGTGGTGGCCTCGGATGCGTGCTTTGAGGCGTCATTCGCCGGCATCTCTGTCTTGGCCGTCTCTGGCGTGCTGCGACGTGCACTGGTGGCCCGGGTCGGCCAGGAGTTGCTGGGTTTGTGGGGATTCCCAAAGCAGCCGATTGCTGCCCTCGAGGCCTCGGCGATCCTCTTGGCTTCCCTTCACCCGTACATCTCCGACTGCCTCGCCAACCGCGACGTCATCTGGTTTATCGACAACACGAGTGCCCTCTACGGTTACGTCAAGGGTGCTTCTGGGAATGAGATCTTGGACCAGATCATAGCCATCGCCCAGCTCCGCTGGGCTTACCTCGGGGCGCGCATTTACTTCGAGTTCGTCCCGTCCGAGGCGAATTGGAGCGACGGGGCGTCCAGGGACCAGGAGGGCGACGGCTTCCTTGTCTCGGCGGGCTTCGCGGTCCAGAGCGTGACCACCCAGGAGCTCAGCAGCGTGCTGGCCCAGGATAGCGCGGGCGAGCTATGAAGTTGCTGCTAATACATTGGGAGTTGTTCTAGAGTCCTTGGGGATTTTATTTTCCATTGGGGCTGGACTCTGAGACCCATCATGTCTCCGAGTCTTCTCCGCCACGCGCGTCGAAGACCCTCGAGGTCCTGCCTCGGGTCTCCTGCCGCGCAGTTCCGGAGGGCAAGCTCGTTTCCCAAAGACTCTCTTCAATGAACAACTCGTGGGTGTGCCGTGGAGAGGTAAAACTGCCTAGTGCAAGCTATCGTGTCCAGCACGGCCCGTCCACATGGGCACCTGTCCTTGGCAGCACTGTTGTGGACCCCTCCTGGTGCCTCCCGTCGGTGACCTCTTTCGGCCTCCGGGTGGCTAAAAGTGGTCACCTGTGGCCGGCCGGGTTAACGTCACCACATGCGGTTGCATTCCGCATAAGTGTAAGCATTGTTTCGGGGAATCGTATTAGACGGCGCTGCGGGGCAGGATGGCCCGCTCAGATCCTTGTTATTGTGGTAGTGGTAGTGGCTGCGGTGGTAGCACGTATGATGAAGTGACGGTGGTATTCACGTGACCGAGTTGAACCCCCACATTAATCAAGACCATGTAAGGAAAAGACAGGGATGGAAGAGTAAAACGTCTGGGGTGATCAGTGGTGAAAGCGTACATACGGAGACGAGGACGAAGAGGGGGGAGAAGGAGCAGGAGGAGGAGGAGAAACGTACCAGAGGCACCTACAGTGACCGCGGCACCGCAGACAGTAGTTCTAGCAACAGTGCGGCCTCGTCATAAGTAGCGTTGTTCAGACTTGCTAGGCCGCACGGGACCGGCACTTCGATGGATTGGAGCAACCAGGACGACAAGACAACAAGACAGGCAGAGGAGGAGGAGGAGGAGGAGGAGGAGGAGGAGGAAGGAGCAGGGAGGACGGAGGCGGCATGAGGGAAGGGGAGCGCGGGAGGAGCCAGGTTGGAGAAGGGATGAGGGAGACGGCGAATGGGAGGAGGCAGACAAGGACGAGGAGGAGGAGAGGATGATCGGACGAGGAGGAGGACAAGGAGCGTAGATGAACGGGGATGCTCCTCCTTCGTCCTCCGTTCTTTCTCATCGTTCAGTCGTCCCTCCTCCCTCATCTCTCATCGCTCTGTTCTGTGTCCTGGGTCCTTTTTCCTCCTTGCTCATTTCCCCTTGCTCGTTTATCCAATCTCCTTTCTCCTGGCTCTTCGCTCTTTCGTCTCTCCTCCCTCATCCCTCTTCTCTCTTTTAGCTTTCCCATCGGGCTTTTCTTCCGAGCCTGTCTTAGCAGCCTGCAGCCGACTAGACAAGAGGTTCCTTGGAGTTCCGTTCCGTTCTTCTCTTTCCTTCCTACATCCTCTGATATCGTGTATCCTCCCTTCTGGATCCTTTGTCATTCGTTCATCCTTTCTCCTCCCTCTTGGCTCTTGTCTACTCCCTCCTTCTTCCTCTTTCTGACTTCCTTGTTGTTGCTTCTCGCTTTCGAGTTAGCTTCTGCGTCTGCTGCTCTGCATCCCCGTCCAGACCTGCGTATGCGTCTCCTTATGTTTCCTTTCCTTCCTTTTATCCCGGTTTCTGTGGCAACACTGCCACCGTGCCCGCGCAGCATTGTGTGGCGACCCTTCCTGCACCGACGTCGTATGGGGCACCAGTCGTCCCCACTTCTGGAGCATTACTCATCGGGACTATTTGGGCCGTCTTGGAGCTATATTGTC